CCAATCTGTTTTTCTTATATTGTGTTTACGGTGTTGCATATATGCTGAAAAAAGTGAAAAAAAAGCATAACTTCCCTAAAAATTACCCGATCATGCTGATTTTCGAACTTGACCGGCAAATTATGAATATTCATCAGTTCTGTAAGTTTCAAACCAAAATGTAATACAGTTTTTCACTTATCATGTTTACGGTGTTGCATATATGCTGAAAAAGTGAAAAAAAAGCATAACTTCCCTAAAAATTACCCGATCATGCTGATTTTCGAACTTAACCGGCGTATTATGAATATTCATCAGTACTGTAAGTTTCAAGCCAAAAGGTAAAATGGCTTTTCACTTATCGTGTTTACGGTTAAAGTGCACGGCAACGGCGACGGCGACGACAGACGCAGATGATGGCTATATGTACAGACACATCTGTGTCTGTACATAATAAATGTTTATACCTCCACCGGAAAATTCTGTTTTTGTATTCGCAACATGCTCTTTCCATGGTTGTATCCCGACATTTGAGTCATCTGACATCATAGGCAGCTCACCTAAAATAATGACCTAAATTCTGTAACCATTTCCAAGCTAGATACAGTAAAATACCCCTTTCATAGCATATACATATAATACTTTTCAGTACGTACGTCTACTATTTCCTTCTCAACATTGAATATGATGCAATTTTTTTTGCTAACTTAGTTAAGTTATTTTTCAGCTCAGTGTTTTCCGGTGTACCATGAAAATCTGACTCCCCCAAAATGTGACTCCCCAGTCAAATTTTCATAATGAAAATCTGACTCCCCCCATGAAAATTTGACTCCCCCCAAAAAGCTTTATAAATCTTATTTTATTTGAGTATATGACTTTTATATTGTGGTATATTGTGGTATGCACTTATTGTTATTTTGCAGGTGAAATTTTTAATGAGAAAATAAAAAAATAAAATTGTGTGTTTTATCACCCAATGACTCCGATATAAAAAAGCTTTTTATTTGATACTTACATGGTGATCATTTCAACATTTGTCCCTTTAGGAAGAATATATTGGAAATATTTGAAAGTTTGGTGGTAAAATATTGGGTGCAAAAATTGAAAAAA